CTGAAATGATCCTCTGTTATTTAGTCCAATCTTCCTATTAAATATATATGTATATATATTATAGTTGGAGCCTATAATATATAATTATATGTATATGTATATGAGCCCGGCAAGCTACCGAGAGTATTCGATATGCCAGACACAGTAACAACAAATTCTCCAATGGAGACGTTACTGGGCCCGCTCGAGCAAATCGACGATCAACGGGAGGGCCTTTACCTTTACCTTTTACATATATCACTTAATCACTTATAAATATATTTTTACTGTGAATGTATTTACAGTAAATAAGTTTCAGTAAATATATAAACATATTTCTCAGGCCCCAAACCCAATACTTCTCATTCTAATTCGCTGGAGTTGTAGGACAGAGAAATGGATAGAGGTGCATCTCATAACCTGACATTTACAAATTTTACCAAATAAAGTGATTTAAAGTAAATTCATATCTCCTAATGTAGCTTTAAATAACTATAATAATCGAAGCTTATCTCAGTCAAAAATTTCATTGTATTGGATGGAAGAGAGGAGAGGTGACACTGGGTCTGGTGCTGCTGCGAAAACAATTTTTAAAAATTTTAAATTTGGGGGTTGGAGCAATAGCACAGTGGGTAGGGCATTTGCCTTGCACGCGGCCAACCAGGGTTGAATTCCCAGCATTCCATATGGTCCCCTGAGCACTGCCAGCAGTGAATTCCTAAGTGCAGAGCCAGGAGTAATCCCTGTGTATCACCAGGTGCTAAAGTCCAACCCTGATTTAATCCCCAGTACCACATATGGCAGTCTCCTGCCTCCGTGCCTGGCTGTCCTCGCCTGGGCCCCTTGGAGGGGAGCGGGTCGAGTTTTTCTCCCCGCCCCAACCAGGGCTCAGGCAGCTGATGACCTCCAGAACCAGCCTCCACCATGCTGAGACCACTCTCTGTACACATGAAGGTACATCTTATCATCTCATTCCTACTTTAGACAAACTGGCAGGCTACCGAATGTAACCTGCCCACACAGCAGAGTCTGGCAAACTCTCGGTGGCGTACCCAATATGCCAAATACCAGTAACAATGAAGGGTCTCATTCTCCTAACTCTGAAAGAGCCTTGAATATGGCACTTTCTAAAAAAAATCTCAGGGCTAGGATGAAGAGACCTTACTGCGGCCTGCTCGAGGCAATCGACGAATCACCAGGTGTGACCCGAAAAGCCAAAATAAATAAATAAATAAATAAATAAATATCATTCTATTCTACTCTATCCATTTATTGTTCCTTAATCTCCCAATTAATTGATTTAGCTAAATGCAGATCTTTTAAATTTATCTTTTAGATTTCTGATAAGCTTAACTACTCAATTTACTTTGAAATATTTATTGATCTATTTTGAGTACATTACCTATACAGCCAATAGGTAACTTGAGTTCTTTACATTATTGAGTATCATTAGTTTTTTCCAAAGCCTCTCTAACCTCAAAATTTAAGAAAATACTCCCAAATAGCTGATCCTCTGCAATGCATTTTATTTAATTTTCTATGAGAAAAAGTATGAGAGATCATTAGAAAACTAATTAATAATTAACTAGATGCATATACAAATATTCCTTAATCTCTCTTTTCTATGTCACTGCTTACTGATATTGTCATACTTTATGGTATAGGTAACAAAAGAGAAGATATATACTTTATGTTATGCTATAAAAATAATTCCACCAAACCTTCCATGCAAGTTATTTTATACTATCATCTAGCACATTTTTTAAACTTCCCATATAATTGTTACGGATATTGGAACAGAACCAAAGGGACAAAGACAGCTGAAGGTCAGTTTTGAATTTCTCCGGACAGTATAAAGCAGTGCCAATCCAGGTCACTGCATTCAGCAGAGAGATTTAAAACATGTTTCACAATTGTGATGCACTTTAAGGAGTCTCTTTTGACTTAGCTTTGTGCTTGAAGAATGTAAGGCTGCCTGACCATACAGGGTGGCAGTTAAGTGTTGGATCAATGCTTTTCTGTTGCTTAAAAGATACCTAAAATGTATGTTTCTTGATTCCACCCTTTCAAGAAGACAATGATGTAATTATATTTGCTATCTCTTGCTGAGTGGCCAATGGCCCTTTCTATTACCATTTTGGATTGTATACAAACTGAAAATTACCAAGATGGTCTTCATCTTTCTCCTGGTGTTATAACATTTAGACTATCTTCTTTCAGAGACTAGTTCCTTGACCTCCTTTTAAAAAATAGCACTTACTTAGAAAATCTGTGGTTCTAAATTATTTACTTGCCTCTTTGGGAGGCTAATAATTTATAAAGTCCCTTACCTATTTTATAAACGAGTTATTTTCAACTATCTGGAACCCATTTCCTTTAAAAGCCAACATGGGAAGACACAGCAGGGCATAGTGGGATCGTTTTCCCACAAAAGGGACAGACCAGGGGTGAGAAGGGGAGACTTTTGTCAACGTTCCCTGAGTAGGTCTATTAAAATAAATGTGACTTTGACAAAGAAATCTAAGGACTGTTTCAGGCCTATGAGCCTGATAGGATTTATTACTGTTATTTAAATAATGTAAATTTCTTTAATTTAACAATGCCGAAGAACCTAAAAGCTAAGACTTGCTTGTCTTTTATCCTATTTCTTTGTCTGTAAGGGAACTGAAAAAACCCTCAGTTCTCCCACTTTTTCTGCCTGAGAAAAATGTATCTGGGAGGCAACCCTGAAGATGAAATTTCATGAATGAACATGTCCTCCTATTAAAGAAATAAATTTTTTCCAACTTTAGAGTTGGTGCCGGTGTTCTTGAATAAGAACTACCTCTATTTGATGACTGGCAACTTACTGTCCACTGAATATTGCCAGGAGTAACCCTGGATGTCCCTGTGCCTCTCTGAATGCAGTGCCATCCACCTCAGCGCACTCCTGTGGTTCCCTTTATCAGAGAATCCCTGATAAAGCAGAACCTGAGAGTCACCACATCTTCGCTTGTCACATTGAACAGCAAATGAGAGGGCCCAGGGGATCCCTAACTATCCCTTGGGAGGATTTTGCAAATATTTTTTTAAATACTATTTTGCTGTTGTTGTTTGTGGGCTTTCTTCTTTCATTTGGTTTCGTTTGGGGCCACATCTGGTGGTTGGAAGTGGGCTTGAGGGGCTATTTACAACTGAGTGCTTGGTTTGTCTTTTTCTGTTGGTGAAACCAGACCAAGTGGTGCTGGGGATAGAGCACTGACCTCCTTCAAGGAAAGAATGGGCTCAGCCCTTTGAGCTACTGCTGTAGCTTCAAACTCATCAGTTTACCGTCAAAGATGAAATCACCCCTTCTTCTTATTTTAATTCCACCATCTAATCTTAATGCCCCAGGCTTCTTAAGTTTGCACTATTTCACCTTCGAATTTATAACTATAAACATTCTCCACCGGTATGTTATTAATTGATTTTTTTTTTTTTGCCAGTCAGTATGTTTTGGTTGTTTATACAACCCAAGAAGAAACCAGGTATTTCTGTGTGGAGATTTCCCTGTGTCCCATTTGAGGGGAGGAGCCTAATTTGAATAGGCACCTTTCTCCAGTGTGTGCTCACATAGTTAGGAGAAAGCTAACTTTTCCATGAAGGGATGTGAATTAGCATACATATAGAGTCTGTGTTCTTTCTCTCACCTAACGTAAAAATCACCTCCCCCAGCCCCTGCTATGCCACATATTTGTTTCAACAAAAGTAAATAAATATGAGATTATGGTCTTTCATCTATTGCAATAACTTGCTTATCTGCTAACACATTTAACGCCATTCAATACAACATTTTCTGCCTTAAAATCATATTAAAGTTTACTGGAAAATAGATTTTTTTCATCACAGTCCTGCTGTTTTAGTGGTAAATCATGCACACATTTTCTACTTTCAAAGAGGATTTGTTATAAGTTATCAGTGTCATCAAAATCCTTTCTGTGATAAAACAAAATTCTCAGTGGGTAGTTCAAATATTCCATAGTATTCTAGTTATAGTGGCACTATCTCTGATTTTTTTTCTAACTACACATACTGCAAAAGTTGAGCTCCTTAAATTAGGCTTCTGTTACTGTAATAATCAGTCAGTAGCCTCTGGGTATTCCATAATTTAGTACCTTGAGCAGAAGTTCAGACAATATGTATCAAGCACCTTTTAAAAGGATAGTATATCAATGCATGTTAGGTGTCTTAGCTTCTACCACAAGATTCAATTATGTTTCCAATTCTGTTTACTTTTGAACAGGGTTTGAAATGTTTTTAGTAAATGGGAGGCTTCCAGTGCTCTAAGCAGCACATATATTACTTAAAAGTCCCTCTTAATGGTTGACTAATGTTAAATGCCTTTCTCTCTTTTATCCAGTGAAGGGAAAGTAGTGTTTTATTAATTCACCCTCCAGAATTATAGATAATACTCATACATTGATCAACTTCTGATTGCTAATTAGCTTAATTATTTATATATACTAACATAGTAGAGTAAAAAGTTTAATAGACAATTGATTAAAGAAAAAATTATTTGAAGCCATCATTTTCAAAAAAAGATAATTAGAATCTATTTCCATTACTGATTATGGAATGTATATAAATTTTTACTTGATAATTACTAACATCTCTGATGATCTCCCAAGCTCATTCTAGCAACACTTTTAGTCTTTTAAATACAAGTTTTAAATCCATCTGGGAGAAAGTGGTGCATTGGAATATACATATATACATTTGTAACTACAATGCTAAATTAAAAAGTCTGATGATGTTTTCTCCTTAGTCTTCCAACTGAAAAAAAATTAAGATATATTTGTTCTATTTTATTGTTGTGGAAACCATACTTTGTGTTGTGGTAGAGGAAATTTTTGGGAAGCAACTTGTGAGTCGAACTGTATATATAAAAAACATGATCACGACCATTTAAACCAGCCATGTTAAATTTTTCAAACTTCAAGTCCTGCCTTCAAAACTACCGAAATTTAAAAGACATCAGAGAAGCTATGGTTAGTTTAATGTACCTGTATATGCAAATTGAACAAGGTCCCAGAGAGCATTGGGGTCTATGCCTTCCATCTTGATCTCTTCTTGCTTGGCCTCACAAACATCACTTGTAAACATGGCAGCGAAATAGTCAGACACTGAGCTGAGAACAAGCCTGAAAAAGTCACAGGAGCTGACTTAGACCATGGGCGTAAATCATATAAATGCTGTTAACAAGAATGCAGTGCAGAAAAATGTTCCTTTCTTTATGGCTATATATTTATCATTTATATATTATCTTATAAAACAAACTTTAAACAACAAATTTAAGAGTTTATGCAGCAGGCTCTGATCACAGAGAATTGTACTACTTATTTTCATTCACATTTTGGATTCCTATAAATTTGGTTAGGGATCTAATTTTGTAAATCTTTATAAATTTAGCAACTTTTGACCTATCATAAATCTGAATTTCCCTAATGAATTATTATTTCTGACATCACAGTCAAGTCCTAAATGTTTATTGCATGTCACTTTATATTAGCATATTTGCTTATTTGACTGATAATACAGTAATCCAATTATAGGACTTTTGAATATTATAGATCTAAATAACCTTTAAGTATTTCATGAAAAATATAAAAATTTCATAAAATGATATAGTACTTTCAATTCCTTTTACTATATAGAACAACTTTCTGAAAGAAATAATTCTTCCTTAATTTATTTTCTTATGTTGCTTAAATTTTGTATATTCTTAGTTAAGTTGCACAAAAAGTATGACCCCTTACAAAAATGTTCTGAATGATCTAAAGACTGCACGAGAGATCTATCAAATTAATAGTCTATTATCAAACAAATTTATATTATACCATGAGCCTTACAACAGCATAATTATAATACTCACTTATTTGTTAATCTTTTAAAGAAGGAAATGCATGTTAGTGTAAAAAATAAAAATGTGGCTATCTCTAAAGAAGTATATGCGCTGTTTATATCTGTAAGCTAAACAACTTCATGCAGTTTTTATCCACTTTTTAAGAACATCGTGAGGGAAGTAGAGTAACAAAGGGTAATACAAAGGAATCTTCTCTGAAAGTTTTTATTTTCTTAAAATCAGAAGAAATATTTTTTTCATATTTTGTAAGATTAAGTTTTATTTCTATATAAGTGAAGAGTACTGTAAATCAAACCAACAGTGACATATCTTGCTTTGACTGAAAAATATTTTTGAATAGATACTTTATAAATCTAATAAGTTTCATGTAAAATTCATAATTGTATTTATTATTATAATTAATACCTAAGTTGAACTATATTAAAATATTAAGTTATCAGTTTGCTGTACATTTAAATTGGGCAAATAACACTGACATATATATCAGTGCCTTACACTCTGTAGAAATGAATTTGACAACTGTACCTTTAACTATTTATTATATGCCATCTAGAGAAATGAATGACATATTGTCAATTTTATCAACCGATATGAAAATAAACTCTCACAAATCAGATACACATATATTTCCAGAGCATATAATCTATATTAATAAAAGTTAAATAACTGGTTTACTTTTAAACATACAAAGGCGTTATTTATAGTACTTAAACACACTTCATGGAAAATATATGATATATAATATTAAATATAAATTACAACAAATATTTTTAACTATAACATAGCAAATATATGTCCCTGACTCAGTTAGAAAAATAAGTAAAAGTTAATTCTACACTTAGATATAAGGATACATAAAATCTGCATTAGATTTCAGAACAAGAATATAATTATAACTGAAAATAATATTTTTATTCATTAATGCAGGGGAAAATAAGTGCATAAATAAGGAAATATAAGCAGTTATTCTGGAAAATCTTTTATTAAGGTCACTACAAATTTATTCCTTCCAATCCTACTAAACTTTTTAAAGTCCCACTCCAATTTATTGCAGTGTTCGACATTGTTGACCTCACACTCGTTTTTTAAATCCCCTTTATAGCTAAGGCATTACAGACATTCTTATCTCACTTGCCTCTAATTCAGTGAGTTTCTTCCTGCTCTGATTCCTTGACCCTTCGTTGTCGGTTTTTTTTCCTCAGGCCTCTAATTTTTGCCTTAAAACTCAGTTTTTCAGATTTATCCTTGAGTATGACCTTTATTATCACAGTTAGGGTGTATTTCTATCTAGCTACATCCTGAATGCCTACTAAAACTGCTCACTAGATAGTCTATTAGCATTTCCATATACCTTAAATTAAGCTCAAAGTGTTCATTATGAGGTCACGTTTTATTTTTACTTCTTAGTTCATAATTGATATAACACCAAACACTTAAATTTCACGTTGTATTTTAGAAAGTTATCATTTATGTTTTCAACGTAGTTCCTATATATAATAAGAGATAAATTTGACTATTTTCTTTTGCATTTAACTTCGCCATTGCCTTGCCCAAATTCAGATATAAGGTATAATTAGTTCTCCAAATTGGTGACAAATTAACATTAAACACTCCCAGCCATCATATCTATATAGATTCTCATTTCACTCCAGGAGTCACTTCACTCTTGGGAATTTTTGAGCTCCTGCTCCTCTTAATCTATTTCTCTATAATCTCCAAATTAGCTTCAACCTTCAACCTGGGTGGATCCAATAACAGTGAACTAAAATATAACAGTTACCTCCTTTTCTTGGGATATGGTTAAAAAAAACTTTCTATTGAGTTTCTTAGGAATTAAAGAAGCAAAATACTGAATGAAATTGTGTCTTGAATTGTTCCTTTCTCTTCCATGTGCTACCTTTCTCTTCTGAGGACACTTAAAATGAACCATGGAATTGAACTTCCAGTTCCCAAATCTGCTTTTGGGAATCTGTCTTTTTTTGTTTGTTTGTTTGTTTGCTTGCTTACTTGCTTTTTGGATCACACCCAATGATGCTTAGGAGTTACTCTTGGTTCTGCATTCAGGAATTACTGCTGGCAATGCTTGGGGGTATATGGGATGCTGAAAATGGAACCCAGGTCAGCTGCTTTCAAGACAAATGTCCTACCCTTTGTACTACCGCTCCAGCCCCTAGGACTCTGTCTTATGACACATTCCTTCTGACTATTTTTCTATTCATATTTTTCTCTCTGTTGATACAGTCATTATTCTACACTTGATTAGCTGAACTTACACCCTAGATCATTAATCAGTTTTTGCTATATCTATATTTTGTACTTTTTCTAAAGCTGTAACATGTTTAGTTCTACCTTTGTTTTAATTATGCTCAGCAGTCTATTGCAGTTATTAGTGCGGTATGTCTGAAGCAGTTTATAAGTCATGTTACCACAATTAAAAAAAAAAAACAGTTCTTTGAGAAGTGGGTCTAGTCAGGAGCTGGAGTTCATGGAAGGTTCCTAGAATCTTAGCTCTCAGAGGTTGTTTGGTTGCCTATAGTCACTGGAGCCTTCTGGGTTGCTGGAGCCAAAAATCAGGATGTACTTGAAGGCTGAATTAATGGAAACCTTGTTGCTATAGATACTGCCTGAAATTTGTTGAAAATAATCTGAAAGTATGGAAGCTGGCAAGAGCTGGGATATTACTTTTTTCTGAAACAATTAGAGAGCCATAATAATTTACTAGGCTCAATGATTTAGGTTTAGGATTAGGATTTAGTATGGAAAAGTCAGTTATTATTCTATCATCAAATTAAAAAATGTATATTACAGTGCTACAGTGATATGTTACATTACACATATGAACAATACCAATTTCCTACGTGTGAATCTTAATATATGGTACTTAAAAAAGCAATTTGCATTTTACCTTCATAATCTTACTTATGAAGGAAGGTAATCTTACTGTGTTTTGTAATTTGAGAATTAATAAATGCATTGCTTAATAGCCAATTTTAGTCTCAACATCTTGCATGATACTAATGTTAAGTATGTACTTGCAATAGTTAAATTCATTATCAAAAGTGGATGAAAATAAAAACACATGACATATTTTGTAGCTCTCAGTATTTGGTTTCTATAGTGAGATATCTTTATTCCTATGAGGTAGCATTTTATACTTCACTTTGATCATTAATTGGTCATCAATTTACTTATTGCTTAATTAAAGGTTTAAAGAATATATAAACATAGTGTATATATGTGTATATGTGTCCTAGTCTCTCTCATCATATACAATATATGTATATGTTATATATAATATATGTATATATTACATATGTATATATATATAATTTTTTCTCTTATCCTACACTGAAAATCTTACTACCTTTACCTAGGAGTCAGCCTTGCAGACATTATAGTCCACATTCTTCTATAGTGTTTTTCTGTGCACAGAATTACAAATAACACTATTCCCAACATTTAAGATGCTAACTATTTTAGATTTTCCTTTTTGTTTTGTCAGATACATAGTTTCAATAATGGATAAAAGAGGAAAACATCTCATAGTCTTAATATTTCATTTTATACATGTGCATTACAAAATAATACATTGTCTGATAATTAATATTGATTTGAAGCCTATTTTTTAGCATCTAGTATATATCACTAATTACAAATTAATGTACCAAGCAAATAATTCACTATATCTGGCATTACATGTTTTACATTAAAATTTTTGTTCACTTGTTGATCAATTATTCTCAGAAATTTGTGAAAAATAAAAGTCTATTTTAGGATTCATCTGAGAATCTAGAACAGAGATAAATAGATTTAATTATTTTTATTTCAATATATTAATGTTCTTTTTATGTAATTATATTATAAAAACATACATATTTAACATAGTATAAGGTAATAAGATATAAAAATTTTACTAAACATAATTGTCAATCATAAATATATAACTTAGAACTTTTTAGCTATAAAATATTTTGTGAATTGTGAATATAAGTATGTTTTACCTTAAATAGAATAGTGGGATAATAATAGAGACAAATAAATATATAAATATAAAATCTTTGAATTTTGTAAATAAAAAAAACTATTCAAGATAACCTGCTTTTAAATAGAGAGAAAAGCAATATATTCCAGACTTTTATTGTGCTAAATTTAAATTGATTGCCACCAAGTCTGATTGTAATTTACATAACATGAAATATCTATCAGCCCTAGTTATTAGAGGTTTAGTTTTGTACTAGATAGATATGTGTGCTTTATTTCTGCAAAATATAATTTAAAATGTTTTTTTTTTCATTAATGAACTAAAAAGCTAGACTAAGCAGTATGAAATCTGTTTAGAAGTGTAGATTGTCAATTTTATTATTAGAATTTTCTTCAATTTACCAACAATACTATCATTTCTAAAGATATCCATAAATATCTCCAATAAAAAGTGTTACTCTACCTATGTGCAGGTATCTTTCGGTTTCCAACAATCAAAATGACATCACAGAGTTGCTGCTGTTTCAAGTAACTTTCCATTTTTCTGAAGGTTTGCTCAGCATGATGAACAGCTTGATAGAATTCTTCAGAGCTGCTGGAGTCCATGTCACTTTGAGATGTCAGGGAATGGCTTGTCGCTGAGAGTCTGCAGATCACACACACACACACACACACACACACAACACACACACACACACACAAAGATAGTATTTAGCTAGTGCTACCAATTATCTAGAACCATGGAGATGTTTAGACTGCTAGGGAAAAAATAAAAATCAATGCATATTTTCTAACTTTGATCATTACTAATGTGTCATGAAATCTATCTTGGGTTAAATGATTTACTCTAGAAAGTAATAAATAAATTGCCAGTTATAATTTTTCTCAAAAGACATATTTAGATTATATTTATTTATCAGGGCATTGAATTATTGAACCTGAATATTATAAAAATTACCAACTTACTAATTATATTTTTATTAAATTTTGATACAATGCATATAAGATTGAAAAATCTACTTACACTGTTATGTTATCATTGTTCTAAAGATAATACAACTTTATAGAAGTTAAATTTTTTATGAAAATATATGAACATTGTTTTGTAAAATGATTGACAACTAATTTGGCATTAAATTATTTCCTATTCTGCATCCTCTATGACTGTCCTCCCGTTGTTAATTGATTTACTCGAGCAGGCCCAGTAACGTCTCCATTGTGAGACTTGTTGTTACTGTGTGTGGTATATTGAATACATCAGGGGGAGCTTGCCAGGCTTTGTCCTGCAGGTAAGATACTCTCAGTAGCTTGCCTGGCTCTCTGAGAAGGGCAGAGGAATCGAACCTGGCTCAGCCAGGCTGGCTGCTCACTCCTATTGCTCTCTCCTCTATGACTAATTAAACAAAAACACAAAATGGGGACCAGACTCATAATACAGAATGTCAGGCACTTGCCTTGAATATGACTGACCCAAGTTCTGTCCCCACCACTGTATTCAGTTCCCCCAAACACTCATTCCTAAGGATCATTCCTAAACACAGAGTCAGGAAAAAAGTCCTGAACACCTCTGGGTATGGCCTCCCAAACCAAAAACAAACAAATAACAAAAATCCATTAAAAATGTATTAGCCTTTCAGGATTATTCTATTCTTTAGATTTTTATTGAAAGCAGCAGTTTTATAATATGCTTTTTGTACACTATTGAAAATGAATATCTCAACATATATGGATATATATGGATAATTAACCACATAAACAATATACGTTTTATATATATATACATATATATGAGTATTTCAAATGGATCATTACATTTAAGCTTGGCTACTGTGACTATTACTCTCATAGGCTATGTATCTATGCATACACATATGCATATATATCAAAATAATGTTAAAAATGTCACCCCATATCAGTACTTGTTGATGTGTGACAAGGAAAGCATATCTTTTCTACTGTTCTGATAAATATTTTAAAGAATTAACAAATTTAAATGAAATAAATAATAATAACAAAATCATTTATTTCAAGCTAGAAAGAAACACGGAGAATTCTGTATCCAATGAGAGTTTTCTAGCTTGTAATTTATTTAACATCTTACCAGAATGAAGAACACAAATAAAATAATACTACAACAGCGATCAAAATTCAATAACACTTAGGCAGATGTACTGGAAGGACCAACTTCTAGAACAAAGGTAACATCATGGAAATCCTCGACAGTCTATAGTACTTCCATTTTTTTAACCCTCAAGGTAATTGTTAACTATAAATAGAATAAGATGAAAGTTTAAGATGCTCAGCATAGTGTGGTCACTAGGCAGGATTTTGGGCATCACCAGAGGAGTAGGAATAAATACAGACAATGGAATCATAGGCATATAATTATAGCCCCACACCCGAAGTTTGTTAGGGAGATAGGAAAGAGAGTTCAGCGCTTAAAGTGCTTGTCTAGCTCGCAGCTGCTGCCTAGACACCAACTGGAGTCTTTAACACACGCAGCCAATAGAAAGACCTGAGCATCACCAGGTGCGTGGCACACCGCACCCCACTCCCAGTAAAACTTTTCTAGAACTTGGATACTGGTGGAAAAATACAGAAAGACTGTGATTCTGGACTGTACTATTTCGCCTTTAGGTGATTTTTCTTAATTCCAAAGCAGAGTTAGGAAAGCAGAAAATAGATTACGGACAATTAAGAAGCTAAATAATGAATAAAAACATAAATTTGAATGTAGCGATTAGCAAGGAAGAAACTGTCTTGGATTTCTTTGGGGTCGCTGAAAGTTTATCCTACATGTGATTAAGATGTATGTGATGATTCAGTAAGATAACATAATCCAATGCCTAGATTTGATCAATACAGTCGGATTGCATTGAGGTGATCTTCCAATATAAGTGCCAACAAAGGGTCATAGTAAATCTTCTATACAAAAGGTAAATTCATGCATACTTTGTGATGTAGTATATGTTTATAATGCTTTATATAAAAGAAAAACTTAGCATAGATCTAAGACATAATACTTAGAAAGGAAAACAGACAAGTCCCATATTTACCTCTGAAGAGTTGTATTACAACTATCCACTACATTGAAAACTAAGTATCAGTAATATATTTTAATATAAATTGAAAGTGGAGAATGTCATAGACAATTTGGCTACATAAAAAAAATTAAATGGAAATGAATAACAAAGTGACAATGTAAAATTTTGGTAGATGAACTTAACTTGCAGATTGATGCAGGTGATGAAAACATAGTGATCTGGAAAATAAATAGAAAAGTATTTAAACTAAAATATGGAGATTAAAAGATAAAATAGCAATTGTTTCAAAATCATAGTAAGCAATTATAATATTATAATAATTAATGCCATTGTAGTCTTATAAGTAGGAAGAAAAATAATGAGCAAAATCATTTCAGTAGCAAATAGGTAATAGAATAATTTTAAATGTATAAAAGAAGATACAGATTTAAGATTCAAAACAAATCCACACACACACACAATCAAGTATAACTACACGTTATAGCAGGAGTAAGGTAAATTTTTCTTTTAGAAAACAACTTTATTTGCAGGACAGAGAAAAAAATTTTTCCAACAAGTCATAAAATTATACTAATGTAAATTAAAAAATGTATGCTAATATAGATTCAAAACGTGACAAGTTCTCTAGAAGAAACTTAATGACCATCCTCTTTGATAAAAATATTTACTTTTTTATTTTATTTTTATTAGTTTTTTTTCTTTTTGGGTCACACCTGGCGATGTACAGGAGTTACTCCTGGCTCTGCACTCAGGAGTTACTCCTGGCAGTGCTCAGGGAACCATATATGATGCTGGGACTCGAACCCGGGTCAGCCACATGCAAGGCAAACTCCCTACCTGCTGTACTATATCTCGAGCCCCTGATAGACATATTTTAAAATATTTTATGTAAAATAAGTTTCTAAAAACATAAAACACATAAAATAAGTTTCTAAATACTTATTTTACATTTATTTTATGTAAAATAAATTTCTAAACTAAGAAATATGTTTAAAAAGTTTATAGTTGATTGTGTATTACAACTAAGTTAAAATGAATTAAAGAATATATTTTTATATAAAGCCACCTAAGTTATTCATATAACAAACATAATTAATGAAAATTTTTCCGTGAGATTAAAATTAATATATATTGGTATTACTTCTATTCAAAAATATTTTAGAGACTTTACCCAATATAATTAAAAAAGGAAAAATAAGGTCTTAGATATAGAAAGAAGAAATATATCATTTTCAATTATGTATTTGTGCACAAAGAAAATCCAAAATATTTAAAAAATAAATTAATAATTAAAACTAATTTAAAATAGGTGTGTTTTTATTTTACCTGCAATATTTATTAACACAACAGTTATTTTCATCAAACTTTGCATGCTTGTTGTACTATTTTTTATAAATATTTAAAAGCAATGCAGGTTTTGCTGTACATATGTTAGCCTTGCACAAGTTTGCAAATCTCCAGAATATGGCAATTTCCAGCATTTATTTTAGAAACTCAAGTTCTACATACCAATAGAGAATTCTGCCCTTCAACAAACCGAATAGAAAATAACAAAAAATGCTATATTTTTGAATCTAGAATGAGTTAACTGTAGGCTATTGGGTCAAGTCTATAGATAAAAAGTAGATCAAAATTTAACCTCACTGTATCCAGGGTGTTTCCTTAGTGATAAGCATGCTCTAGAAATTGAATTAGTTTCCTTGAGCCATGGCAGGTCATGCCCCATTGCACACCAGTGGGTGCTCCTGGTGACTCCAGGAAATACCCAAAGAACAATTCTAAACCCTGTGGTCAAACACTGAATTATTCTAGTGATTAACCAAGTTTCATCAGAAATGTCCTGAGTCTCATAACTCAGATTGGATGATGAAAATGAAAAGTCAAACTGCTGTTTCCATTGAAATAATGACTTTTCTACTCTGTTGCACAGATTGCATAGTGTCTAGAATTCAAGACTCCAGTGACAGACAATATTGGTTTATTTTGAAGGGATGTGGCATGTTTTAATGTCAATTATTCATAAGTAAAGTAAATTTTTGGACAGAAATATTTATATTTCACTAAGAATTTTATTCCTTAGAAATGTTACCCAAAAAATAAGAGTATATTTTGCATCCAAGTTTCCCAAGATGCGAATGAGAGAAAATAGTAAAATAAATATGATTTTTAGAAATATATAGTTTAAAACTTCTTTCAAACAAAATAAATCAAAGAAATAAAAAGTGAAATTTGAAAAAAAATATTCAAAGTGAAAATATTTCCTTATTGTCAAGAGAGAACCTTGTTTTTATATAATCTAGTTGAATTAAACAGTCTCGAGAATAATACAGATATTCATCTTTTCTAGGAAGTGAGGCAGGTTGGGTTGAGACAAACCCAGGAAGTACTCAAGCTTGTGACTGCTGACTCTGATTAGGAGTCACTTCTAGAACAGCTTGGGGACAATGTGAGATGCTAGGGATTCAAACCTGACATACAAGACAAGCAACCTACCCATTCCATTAGCTTTCCAGACCCTTCAAATCAGGTCTTTTCTGAGAAACTTAAGTAATTTGAGGGTAAGTTCTAATTTAAAAAAAAAAGAAAGAGATAAACTCCACAA